TCTTTTTTTTCATGTCTTTTCTACCACCTAACAGGTAGAAGCCAAAACCATGGCCACCATGTCTGCAGTACCTGGGGAAACCATCATTTCAACACTTTTGATGGTGATGTCTATCAGTTTCCAGGCCTTTGCACATACAAGTTTGCTGCCGACTGCCGGGAGACTTACAGCGAGTTTTCTGTCCATATTCAGCGTGGTCTGAATAGCAGAGGACACCCTGAAATCCAGAATGTCCTAGTCACCATTCAGGAAGTTAACATCTACCTCACCCGGAAATATGCTGCGGTGGATAGAGTAATGTAAGTTCTTCTAGTATTTTAAGCCTTCCAGGATATGTGTAAACTTCTATGAGATATAGTATTATGGAATGTAATATATAGCTTGAAAGCATGTATTGCAAGCATTTCATGAGTCAAAAGAAATGTTGGAGATGGCTTACAATATTTGCTTGCATGCACTAGCATCAATCCTAGCTTCTGTACATCTCTGAGACAATTTGTCTGTTGAATTGTTCTATTTTGGGCTGTGTGAGACAGAGCACAAAACATGGGCCACATCCTTATATGGTGCAAACTGGTGCAGCTTCATCATTTTCAGAGAACCTATGCCAATTTATTTGGATTTGGTTCAACAGGTCTGCATAAACTAACGTGGGTGTTTTTACTTCTCAGCAAAAAAAAGTGGATTTTTTTTCTTTTCTTCTTTTGAGTTATTTAAATCCTAGTGGGCATTCTTCATTAGATTATACCAATTATAACTCAGGTCAGTGTTGGGGCTTAAAAGTAATAGACTCTCTCCCAATTAAGTGATGGCATTTTCCTATTCCTGTAATGTGATCATACAGGGCATTAGCCTGCCAACATTACTCCTGTTGAGTAGTGCGTTATTGTGCAAGAATGAACACTCTGACAGTAAGGCACTGCTCCTAGGGGCCAGGGTGACAGAATATAAGCCAAGATTAACATATTTTAGCGTGTTAAAGGTACTGATGTTGTGGTTTTCATTGTTGTACTTAACACTCCCTTTAATTGGAACCTGGGTTTTGATAAAACTGGAACCTGCTCCAGTGAATTCTGATTGAAGGAATAAAGAATAACAAACTATTTTCTAGGCACTAAGGCAACATATATGTACAGGAATATTGTGAAGTCTTTTCAAATATATTACTGTCCCAAATGAGAGAGAATGTAATAATGCATCAAACTGTTAAAGGGAAATTTACAGGCAACTTTTTAGAGGTTCTTTAAAGGATCCCATGCAGCTCCTGTGCGTGCAGAGCCTATTCTTCTCTTATACATTGTTCATAAATCACTAAAACCCTCTTAAAAGAAGGCTTGTAGAACAGGTTTTCACTGCACATATGATTTACTGCCTTTTAGTATTTAATTTATATATGATTTACTGCCTTTTAGTATTTAATTTCCTTTATTGCTTTTCTTGGTGCTACTCTTGGTGTCTGATTCATTGTCATATAAAATTAGGGTTACCATGTTTCCAGGATCAAAAAAGACGACACCTGTGGTAGGGAGGAGGAGGAGGGGTATATGATTCTGCGGGGTGGGGCAGTGATATACCTATGCCCTGCCTCTGCCTCTTACTCCTAAGTCCCTGTCCCCCCTCCCAGTGCTGCCAGTGCCCCTCACTCCCGACCTGCAGCCCTACTCCCCCCAGCACTGCCAGTGCCCCTCACTCATGACCTGCAGCCCTGACCCTTCAGCCCTGCTGCCCATACAGCTCCTCTGCGTGCACACTCATGCACACACACACTTACCTGGGAGCAGTTTGCTGGGGCCCATGTGCAGAGCACTTGACCTCTGGCAGCTAATCACCTTGCCTGCTGCTGTCAGCCCCAACCATCCACGCTGCATGTGCACAGGAAAAGCAGAGGACATTTGCTTGCATTTTGCAAAAACCCGGACATTTGCTTGCATTTTAAAAACCCACACGGGCACAAGGACAGGGGGCCAAAAAAGAGGACATATCTGGGAAAACCTATACATACGGTAACCCTAATAAAATATCATTATGTGCCTGCACAATGAAGCCTGTAATGTAGCTGCATTTTAGTATTTGCCTTGAGGTACACAAAATATCAACCTGAATGTTATTGGTGATCAGATGGGTCCCCAGGAGGGAGACCTGGTGACATCTTTTTTTAATTCCATCATAAAATAGAATTACCTGGTGATCACACGCTACCAAGGGGTGGAGTTGGGATAATTCTGCTCTAAGTTTAGCATGCATATTGCTTTGGAGCTGCTAGTACTTCTGTAGGTTTGGAAATGGTGTTGGGATATGACTTACAGAGTGCTGGAAATAGTGACTTTCTAAATTTTTTTAATGCTTCTATAAGTTACCTTGGAATTTGAGGCTTAATAAAGCTTTTAAATATTTGTAGAATATCACCCTTGTGCATCCTGATTAACACAGATGCAAGCCAAACAACATTTCAGGGCAGATACTGAACCATCCTGGTATATAAGGGTCCCTACTGGGAACTCCATTATCTGCATTTAACTATGTTTTCCAGATAGTCCTTTCAGTAAGATTTCTATTACTTCATACATGCATGGATGAGGGAAAGAACAAACCTATTATGAAGTCAAAGAATGAAGGCACTAACATTCATAAAGACGAAAATCAAAATAAAGAGCAAAGACAAAAGGCAAAATGGAAAAAAGGACATCATTTTTTTTTAATCGCAAAGCTCTACCAGGGTTAGTGCTGTGGAGTTTGCCTAATAATTTGGGACCTACCCAATTGAGGAGGCAGGAGGCCAGTTTTGCAGGCAGATTGTATGGTTGGCATCCATTTTTGTGGACTTATCATGGTAGGTTCCCCCCATGCCTCTGATTGGCTGAGGGGCCCCAGTGCCCCTGTCCCTCACTACTGATTGGTGGAGGGGGGTGGGGTCGCATGACAGGCAGGCCTCTCAGTCAATCAGCAGTGAGGGGTGAGGGCAGTAGCCATCTCCTTCGTGCCAGCAGCTCCCCTTCCCCCTCTTCTCCTGGTGGGTTGTGCGGCTGGGATGCAGTGTCTATGAAGAATTTTATTTTTAGTAAGTTTTTTTCATGGATTTTGTGGACAATGCCCAACTTCAGGATTTCCACAAAATCCACAAAATCACAAATTGAGTAGGTCCTGACTC